GAATCCGCTACACCGAATTCACTACGAAACTTGTGTCGAAGAATCGGCTTCTCACTTCGAAAATGACCCGAACTCCACCACCCAAAGCAAAAATGCAAGAACTCTGGTGACAAGATGTGACAACCCTGCTTTGAGTTGGGAGATTGGGCTGATCCTTCATGAAAGGGATTAGTACACTTCGTCAGAAAGAGAGTTCTCGCCGCTCGCCCGCAACTTCGGGCCGTTTCCGGACCCCAGCTTTGCCGCCCTGAGGCACGTGAGCCATTTGCGCCCCAGAGCAACACGGTTTCAGATGGTCACAGCCGAAAGTGTGAGATCCCCAAATTGTGTGGTAAATGCACCATATCCAACCTCCAACCTCCCCCTCCAGACTGCCGCTCCAGACTGCACCCAGTCCCATGGTCCCCTCTCCAAAAATCCAAGTGGCTGCACCGACAAAAAGAGCTTCTGCCGCTCCGCGCTGAAGCGCTTGGGATCGGTCTGCCTCGAGGGAGGAAGCGACGGACCGACCGGGTCGTCGCGACGGATGAAAACGGGAGAAAACCTGTTGGACCTTGTTGAGTCTGGAGGCCAATGGATGCCAATGGACAGCAAAGGCGGCTCTACACTCTACACCAAAAAAAACTGGTATGGCTTAATTTACAAAGACTCTTGATGAAGCAAACCCCCCATTTATCTAATCAAGAGTCCACATTGCACACCTCCTATGGATTCTTTTGCCTATGGGGTTACGGACCACTTTCTACGGCTCGCAGTGGAATATCAACAGCCATGCCATGCCCTTTTAAGCTTGATGCATCGCCATGGCATCGCCATGGCATCGCCATGCGTAGCTGTAGCTCCAAGCGATGCTTCTGCGTTCGAACTGCCACCAAGCTGCTTATAGGCTTGAACCAGCTCCTGCGAGCAGGACGATCGCACCAACGAATCGCACCGAGCTCGTAGCGGCAGAGACTGGCGAATTCAACGAGCCAAACACGGAATCGATGGCACCCTGAAGAACTGCGACGGACCCAGAGCAAAATTGAGCAAAAGCCAAGGAATCCCATGTTTGTTGCAGGTCTAAAATGGCAGGCGATTTGGAAGCTCAAACGAAAGACCTTTCACCGGGCTCGTCTCCGAAAGACCAGGCCTTGCGCTTTGCTTGAAAGGTGGAATCAGAGAAGCCTTGCAGCAAATCACGCCTCAAGAAGTCGGTGGTGAACGTTGGTTCGATTGGATGAGGTTCGATTGGCTGGATTGACTGTGTTCGATCGCATTGGCTGCTTGGTTGGGGAAGATTGCTTGGAATTCTGTTGAATTGACATGCATAGATACCTGCATGATGCCGAGCTACTGAAGCGCGAGAGCTTGATGGAGCGTCAGCTTTGGAGGCTCCGGCGGCTGGACGCTCGCCTCGAAACATGGCGACGGTCGACCGATGAAAGCTCAATGTCTGTGGCTCGACGAAAAGCCCAGTTCGGAAGAGGTGCATTCTTGTTGGATGATGCCCATCCCTATTGGGGAAGGGAGTTCCCAACATGCACCAGGCGCTCAAGACCAGGAGGGTAAGGTCCTGGGTGCGCAAGACATCCAGGTCCTGGTTGATGATACCCTCCACCCCTGAGGGTTCAAAGGCTTTTCAACCGTTTTTGGGTGCCCGAAACGGAGAACACCCAAAGCGGCAGGTGGACCCTTGATGAATGAAGCTGGCGCCGGAAGAATGTCCGTGAACATCCTGAACTTGCAGTAAACGTGAACTCATTGTGAGTGCCTTCATAGAAGAATGACATTGAAAGACCCTTGAGAAAGGATGGAAAAGGCGTTTTTTTCGTGTCTCGGATCTCTCTTGAGACTGCCAATGCCTGAGTTGGCTCATCCAGTCGAGGCTGGGCCCACTGGGACGGCTGGTCCTCTGCTTCCTCACTGGCCGTCCTGATCGCAGACCCGCCAGGACAGTTTGCCATCTTGCTGAGGAATGTGCAAGGTAACCACAACCACAACCCTGAAAGATCCTGCCGGGCAAGAATTCAAGCCCCATACAACTTAGTTCGTTGTCTCAAACTATGTGCTCCGCACCTTTTTAGAAGCTGTTTCATTGCCCTTTTATCTTTGGAGTTTCTCCCAGATAGGAGAGAGTCACTGCTCACCACGGCCCAGCCTCAAACTTGGGACCCCCAGGACTAGCAAGGCACGACGGCTGTTCAGCTTCTCGGAATCCTTCCAACGCCAGGGCGAGCACAGCGAAGGAGTAAAGGTGCACGGTGCAAGCCAAACGACTTGGTCCCGGAAACAGAGACCAGAACCTGCTGGTCTTGGGGTCCCATTGTTTGAGCCACACCCACACGCGGCATGGCTCAGTTCACGGACACCCCATGGCTCAGTTCCTTGTACAGCGTTCATTCGACTCGCAGACTCGCAAGCCTTTTCGATCCTTTATTCCATGTGTTCGAACGAAGAAAAAGACCGGACGAGCCCTTTCGTGCCTTGAAGGAGGAGAAGGCGCCATTCTCTCCCACGCGCTGCACCAGGCGGCAGGTCTTCAGCAGCTCCGGCTTCCCCAGGTGCGCGGCCAGGGCCTCGCGCACCGCTTTCATCGTGGCGTTGCTCTTCACCACGAAGCGCGCCTCCTGCGGGGAGTCCGAGCTAGGCCGAAGCCGAGGACGGCCCCTTAGGGCATCGAAGGTCGGGGTGAGTGCGCCATGCACATCACTTGGCCTGAAGGAGTTCGCACTGAAAAAGCTGCAAATATCTAAATATCGGGTTGACCATGGCACACGAAATCTCCAACCACCTGGACCTTCAAAGTGACCTCTTTGGAGTCTCTAAGTGACCTCATTCTAGGATCTCAAGTTAGGTCACTTTGAAGGTGGCATGGCACACCCATGCCATCATGAAGGATCTGATTACTCGATAACCCAACACCGAACGCACCGAACGCAGAGTTGGATCTCAATCGACGTCATCAGATCAGTCCCCAGGAATCGATCGAAAGCTCGTTCAGGTCTCTCCAATTCTGGACCACCAGACACACACCCATGCATGGGAGAGAGACCTCTTTTTTTTAATTGCCGGTACAATTGTCCATGAATTGTACCGGACAAATTTTATAGTTAATATCAAGGTCTCTCCATGAATTGGAAGATTACAAGAACTTGCCGGTACTCGATCGTTCCCATGAAGGCTCCGCCAACACCTGCCCCTGCTTGCGATGGAAGTTGGGTCTGAGCTTGGAAGGTCACCGACCGTCAAAGGCTTCTTCGTTCACATCGTTGGAAACATGCGCTTTTCATGCGATATTGGGTTGGATCCAGCGGTGTTTGGAAGGATTTTCCAAACAATGTTTGACTGGGTTTGGATGGATTTTGACTGGGTTTTCCGATGTGTTTCTTCTGAAGATCAAACAGCTGGGAGCGGTTTACACCGTTTTAGCTGTTGCTTCTGATGCTTTCCGATATTCCTGAAACTGGACTCACGGTGTCTGGGCATCTGAGTCAATGCGTTGCTTTGACGTCGACCAATCGATGGTCAAGGATCGACCCAAGCGTACTAATACGGGGGTGCCGGACGCAAATCAAGAGTTCACAACGGTTTGACCCTGAATGGTTTGACCCTTGACTCTCCAAAGTCTCTCCAACTGTCCAAAGCAACATCATGTGAACAGGTATTTTGGTGTTCATCAATGCGGCCATCCAGTGCATGGCCGACGTCGGAAAGCACTGGATCCAACAAAAGAATCTTTCTTCGACCAAGCCGGACCGGTCACCGCCCTCGTCGGTCGTCTGGTCGACCTCGTCGGGATGGTCTTCCTCGACCGCGTGGCGGACGACCACCTGTCGGGCGGGTGGGCGGTGGGCAGGAACAGGTGGCCTCGACTGGTTGGGACGCGGTCGCCTTTTGGGTTCAAACGGGACGTTCAGATCAGTGGGTATGGGTGTCCGAAACCTGGAACTGAGGACCTGAGGGGGGTTTTGCAAATCCGCTGAGGGGCCGCATTCAAAACTCTCTACGTCTGAGACCCCATGGAACCACCTCCCTCTCATGGATCAACCAAGAACCGAGACATTCGACACCAACATGTCACCATTTTGGAAGAAGCCCTAAACGACACCCAGCCCCAAAAAGCGTGACAATCACTAGATATCAATAGACCCGCACCACGCATCGGAGCCACGCCCCTCTCGGGTCGCCCGTCCGCAGCACCTCGATGTCCACCACCACATCGTTCCGTGGAGCGTTCCGCGGCTTGGCCTACGATGGCGTCGGACGGGGCGTCGGGCGTCGGATCGTCGCATGGAAGGCGAAAGCGTGCTGAGGCCGGCGTGCTCATCGAGGCGCGCTGAGGCCGCCGGCCGCCGGTGGCTTTGACTTTGGCTCAGGAAAGACCTGTGGACCAAGTGATTCCAGCTGTTCACATTACATGTTTTTCAAAAGGACAGATACATGAAGACATTAGGAAACATTGTTACATTCAGATGCTTTCAGCGACTATTCTCACCCGACACATGTCCGGCGCTAATCTTTGAGGCGTTGAGGCGTCGGCTTCTCTCACCGGCTTGGCAGGCTCTGGAAAGGCCTGTGTTTGGTGCGGCGCTTGCACCACCCAAGCATGCTTGGGAATCCATTGGAGAGAACACAAGAAGCACAAATGACAACATTTAACATCATTAAACATCCATGTTTAACATGGACACCATGGATGGACGGATGTGAACATCATTCAACAGGATGACAGAGAGGAAGTCGGTCGTTCTCCACTCGACCGCGACCATATCGGTTGACCATATCGGTGACCCTCATGCACGAGCACCTATGGTGAGAAGTAGGAGGGTCCCAGGTCTTGGAACAGGTTGAAAGAGAAGCATCGTTGGCAAGTGGCACAAGTGATGGATACCTGTGATTGTGTTTATATATACCATTCAGTTCCAAGGAGTATTTTCAAAGGTGACACGACAGGAAGGGTTCTTCTTGTCTGATCAAGCCCCACGACTCAGCCCGCCGGGTGAAGGGTTCACCATTTTCAGCCTCAAGCACACTTGCTAATGGGTCTCAGCTCATAAAAGCCTATTCTGGTGTGGTACCAGATCCATACTTCGCAAAGCTGCTCAAAGACCTTCAGGATCCATACTTTGCGTTGGCTTCAAAGCCCAACTTCAAATTGAAAGACGATGAGGTCTTGCGGCCGCTCAGGGCTGCGGCGGAAGTCGCCGAGTCCGCGGTGGGTGCCTTGCCGCCCAAGGCATCCTCATACCATGCACTCACCTGATCCCAGTTGACCACATCCCACCAGGCCTTGATGTAGTCTGGACGGCGATATTGGTACTTCAAGTAGTAGGCATGCTCCCACACGTCGCAGCCCAAGATTGGGATGCCTGCCGTGCCCTCAACCCCATCCATCAAAGGGTTGTCCTGATTGGGGGTCGAGGTAATGGCCAGCTTCTTGTCATCAGTCACAACCAACCAAACCCAGCCAGAGCCAAAGCGCGCCCCGGGAGCTCCTGCAGCCTCGAACTTTGCCTTGAAGTCATCCATTGACCCGAAGGAGTCGTCAATGGCCTTCGACAACTTCTCCGATGGTTTCCCTCCCTTGCCAGTAGGTGCCATCTCCAACCAAAAGAAGTTGTGGTTGTATGCACCTCCACCACTGTTACGGAAGGCAGCCCCGTCCTTGATTGCCGACTTCTGCAGTTCCACAAGGGGTGGCTGACTCTTTCCTTCCATTGCCTTGTTGATGTTGGTCACGTAGGTCAGGTGATGCTTGTCATGGTGGAACTCCATGGTCGCTTTGTCAATGGAAGGTTCCAGCGCATCATAAGCGTAGGGCAAATCTGGCAAATCATATGCGCGAGCAGATTCGCTCAGCAAACCAACCAGCCCAGTGGCTAAGCCGGCCGCCATCTCACGCCTGCTGGCCCCCTGTGGACTTACGAAGCTGCAGTGCCAGCAGCACAGTAGCATCGCAGCCACCAGCAGGGCTGCACCCCGGAATCGACGAGCCATTCCGAGTTGGGGGAGGAGGAGTCCTGGGAGGTCTGAGGGCTGGAACAGCTCAACGACGAGTTCGATCACTTCGAAGCGCCACACGTCACTGGACATCGAAGCGCACACGGTTTTCCCCCTCCCTCCCAGTTTTTGACTCCACTCGATCGCCCAGTGGTCGGCCTCTCTAGGTGCTGGCCGTGGCCGTGGACGTCCATCAGGGGTCAACCGCAGAAGCGCGTTCAGCGCTGACCTGCGAGATACGGCAGGACCCCCAAACCGGAGCGGGGGGGGGTGAATTCTGCCGGCCAAGGAAGGAGGTCAGTGACCAGGTCAGCTGGGAAAAAGAAAAGGAACGGACGTTGATCCAAAGTTGATCCAATCCCAAAAAGAGAACAAGAAAAATTGATATAAACAAGGAATGAATGAATTACAGTAATTGCTACATTATTTATGATAAATGTATATAATACAAAAATTCTGCTCGTGCTTTCTGGGTGAAGGGCGCCGCGCTTGTTTCCCGGTCCGTGGAATTTCAGAGGAATTGCTCCGACCGAAGTCTTTTCTCCTTATTGGGAGGGGTGATGGTCTCCAGGTCTGATCAAAAAATATGGTGGCTTTGAAGGATCGAAATCCATCGATTGAACTCTGGATCTGCGCAGTTGCGGCTCGAAGTGCCAGAGTGCCGAACTGAACACCACTCAAAATCATTTTCTTAAAATAGAACCTATTGCCTATTGTTGTTTGTTTCGGACTAATTAAACAAAAAGGCTGTTGTCCTCTTGATTTGCGGGCATTCTTTGGGCAGGCTATCTTTAGAGAATCCAAACAATAGAAAGCTTCCACGCTGAAAAATGCCCCAAAAGCTGACCGGAATTGTTTTGATCTCGTTTCTTTTCTCCCTCCACCTCGAAGCAAACCAACCAGCTCGCTCGTCGTCCGGTCTGGAAACACCGTGCTTCCAGTGTTTCAGAACGAGGCAACAGGAAACACTGCCTAAGACAGACACCCGCCTCTCCTGTGCCTTTGCCGCACCCGGAAGCACTGCAAAATGACTTCAGTGGTTTGTTGCTGTAGACACGATTTCAACCAAGCAAAACGTTGATGCAATTGGCTCAACCCAAAGAACGACACCTGCGCTTTCTTGAAAAAAGAGCTCTTGGAATCTCGTGCTTTCCTCGACTTCGCGGAAATTGTGGCACATCTCTCGTTGAATTCAGCCCTATAGAGGCCTGTGAAACGACAGTCTTCCGCACGAAAGACCTTCTCCGCTCCGGCAACTAGCAGCCCAGCGGAGCACGAAGCCCGCAGCGCTGTACACTCAGTTGCTGGTGAATGTCATGGTTCTAGTGGTCGTGGTGGTCTCAGTTTCGGATGAAGGTCACCATCATTGATTCGGACGAGTGAATCTGTTGGATCCAGATATGCAAGGATCTGGAATGTGACTGTCCGGTGCCACAAAATCGGTCCTGTCTCAAAAAAATGAAAACGCTCAATGCTGCAAGTCGATCCTTTTTCGCACAATTGGACCAATTATACAAAATGCATTCAAGTCTCTTTGATCATACCTGGGAGGCGGTACAGAGGCTCTTATTGGTGCGCAATTGTCTTACGCACTTCGCACGTAGTGTCCTCGATCGCTAGTGTACTTCGACTCAACACCAGCCCAAAAGTCTCGAGTCTCGGCAAAATTGATGTGGGTAAAAAGGGGGGCGGCGGGGGCCAAGGGTCAGGGTCGGGACGGCTTCACCCCCCCACCCCAACGGCTTCGGCTTCGCCGCGTGTCGCGAAGAAGGGGCTGTATTAGCAAAGGGAGACCTGGAAGAAGGAAAATAGACCTGTCTATCCGGCTGCTTCCTATTAAATACACACCCATGTTTCCGGTGAATGTGCACGGCATGGCACGGCCTGACAAGCCCCTACACTTTGAGGCATTGGGCTACCTGCATCAGGGTAGGCAGCACCCAGGTCTATGCACATACAGGAACCATGGACTTTTATAGAAAGTGTGTGTGGATGTGGAATTCGATCATTCTGCTCACATCTTAATGACTGAGATGTGCCTGTTTTTATCTCTTGTGCATGTCCACCTGGCCAAATCACAAAGTTGGCAAACCTGAAAATCGAGGGGCTCCTTCGTGCGGGACTGTCCGGCCTTTTCAGTCATTCACCCACTGGCTGAGGTTCTTCTTCTTCTTCTGCTACTTCTTCTTCTTCTTCTTCGAGTGAATGCATCACTTTATGCACTGGGGTTAGTATGAGGTTTAATTCTGTCCAACGCTTCAACTGATTCCTGATGGTTCCAACTTCTCCCTCCTCTCCCTCCAAATCTCAGCTGAGGCGCCATTGAGGCCCATTGGCTCGGTTTCTGCTTCCCATTGGCAACCTCCATGACCCTTCTTATCGTTGACAAAGTCCAGCAAAAGACCTGTGCCTCACCGTTCTCTCGACGTGCGGACCCGTGGGAACGGAAGTCCAGCCCCCCGCACCACGGACGTGGCGGTCAGTCTGCCAAGGGGCCATTCTCGGCGGAGCACAGGTTGAGGGGATCCTTGAGGCCTCCGAAAGGCAAAAAAAATCGACGAATCCACGTGTGATGGTTTGGTCCAAGTCACTGGTCCTGACAATGCCCGTCTCGAAAAAATGCCAAAAAGGATGGTTGGTTTGTCCTGGCTCTACATGGCAGAGCATTCGCTGAGATCGTTTCTCCATTTCGGTCTATACAAGTTGTGAGAGTCCTCATGTCATGTCCGATCGCTCTACAACCGCTGAAAGCACGAGGAGATCCTACGACTTCTATGTGCATGTCAAACAGTGAGCGGCTAATCACTCTGGCTGGTATGCCCCTCAAAAACAAGTGCTTCACTTCGACTAGTTTGCTGATGATGCTGATATGTATAGATATGTGATGATATGTGCTTCACCTACGGTTTTCTCAGTCTGAAAGAGTTTCAGGGATCCACATCTTGTAAATTTAAATGTACAATACTTTACAGGGCTTGCTATGAACATCCCAAGTTGTCAAGAGTTCTGTTATGAGGATCGGAGCCATGGCCCTCGCCACTCCAGGAAGTCAACAAATTTCATGTTCATCTGCTGCCAAGCTTCAACAGCCCTCATCCTTGGAGGCATCGGTTGTTAAAAGAAAACGAACAAATAAACTGTGATGCAATATTGATAGAAAGCACATGAAAGCACACAGGAACCACTCTCAAGACTCCAGGGAATCTGGGCCCAACACATCCAAGCACTTCCCCTTTGGGCACTTGGTTGTTTTCATCAAAGTCACAGACGGCGACTCAACACATGGACCAAATGCTCCCGCTTGATCGGGGGTGCTTGCTGTGAAGTCTTGCCTCCCAAAACGTCATGCTGCCTCTTTTTTGTTTCGACAAAATTGCTTTTTTCGGTGGATCACGGTGGATGCCAAAAGCAAATGGCAGACCCCCGATAGGTGCTTCACAGCAATCCACCATCCACTCAGGCACCTATACTACACTGCAACTGACATCCACTTTTCAAGTACCAGGCGCATTTTTGCAGAAGACGCTTGGGCAGCAAACGGTGACAACACCGTCACTGGTGCAGCTATCAGTGCATCCCTGCCAGTTGCACTCACGTGTGACCGATCTTTTTCACATGTTGAGAACGTAAGGAGGACGCCTGTTAAAACCGATAGGTGAAGGAACGTCCCAGCCTGAAGGAGGACGGCTGCACCACTTAGAATAACCTCAGACCGTGGCACGTGGGACCGAGCTGGGCTCCGAGTCCGGTCCGTCACGCATCTCGTCTCGTCCGGTTTCATACCGTGTTAGAAACCAAAACACAACCAAAATAGAGCCGGAGAAAGGAAACTTCAGCTATTTTTGTGAGTTCTATTTTGCTCAAAACCTCACAAACCCAGTCCTGGACTGGGTGAGAGAACTGGAGATAGACTGCGCCGTTCAGCCGCCGAGAGGCTGTGACGCCCAGCCGCGGTAAAAGGGACGTTCGCATCTGCGCTGCACCTGGGCGAGCCCGAGCGGCCGGTGGAAGGCAGAAGAGAGGGGACGGGAGGGGGGCAGCCCAATGGTAAGTTCGAGCCTTCGGTGCTGTCCCGTTTTTTTGGGCAAAAAGCCCACGTGTGGAGGATGTTTCCATTGTTGGGAAAACCATGCGTGGTCGGATGTATCGTATTTCGGACGTGAGGTTCCCGTTCCTCGGACAACTTTTTCAGTTTCCAAGAGGTGGTGCCAAGTCGTTATGCAAGTGCATGGGCCATGCCTTGGATGTCAGGGAGACCCCAAATGAAAAGACTAGACATGAGAAGTTCCCTGATGCAATCTTGGTGGCATCCATGCAGGATGTGCTGTTGTGGTCGTGAAGGCCTTTCAAACCCTCAAAAGCTACCATCAGATTGGCACTCACCTTTGTTTGTTCCACATTGGCCATGTACTGGAAGCTCCTTCCGTTAAGAATCGCTAAAATGATCTGTCACTATGCAGAGGACCCTCAAGCACACCCCAAAAGAATTGCAAAAGTTAACAATCTTTCTGGTGTCCGATTTGAACTCCTTTAGCAAGGGTCGCTGGCAGATCACTGTTAGGTGCCAACCTTTAACGGATGATGGGCCCCAATTGTGTTGTTGCCATGTTCTATTGCGCTGCGCAGTTGCTTTGCACATATTATACTGTGCTTCTAAGCCACCAAAAGGTGCTTGTAAAGGCTAGCCTGCTAGAGTTATTGTGTCATCACCGTGAAGGAAAGCATGTGCATTTGTTCAGGTTTCATACGCCTGCACGCAAGTGGGTTAAATCTCTTGATTCAAAAGTTGTCGTTTTGTTCTCAATTACCGCTGATGATCTGAAAAGGCACCTCTCATGCCTTGTGAGGCATCTCTCACCAAGCTCCCCAGCTCTCCGTGCTCTTTCCTGGGCCACCAGGCCAAAAGGCACAGCTGTCTATCTCGCCATGTTGAGCTTTGAGCCAAGGGGCACCCGACCCATCGGCGTCCAAGTCCAAGTCCACACACACCCCGTTGGACGCATGCGGTTCAGTGTCAAGCTGCCACCGGTTCATGTAGACCGACCCGCTGCTGTTGGAAACGTATACCGACCATGAAAGCCGTAAGGAATCTTGAACACCTTTTTGGAGAAACGCCTTAGCAAAAATGGCACCCCTTGAGACCCGTTGAATCACGCACTGAAGGTTGAACTCGGGAGTTGATTTAACAAAAAACATGCAAAATCAATTCACACGTGAGGTCATGTCTTGATTTCGTCCTGGTCTTTAGGACTGTAGGCGTAACAACATAGCCATGATCAGACAGGTGTCCCTTGGAATCGATTCTCTGACGAATTCCTTGACCTCTTCGGCGGCCGTCGTCGTCGGGCGAGGCGGCACCCGAGTCGCATGAAGTCCTCGTTCTGTGCAAATTCCGGCTTCTTGAAGGCTTCCTGCAAGCCGTTTTGGATGGCAAAAGTCTTGACTGTGTCAATGGTCCGCAGCTCAGTTCCAGGAATGTGGATCATGACCTGTGTCTTTAAGGAGGTGTTTCTGAGGTCTTTGAGCTTCTGGATGCTTAAGGGCTCAAGCTGTTTGCAAGGTGCGACCACCTCATTTCATGACTCACCTGCCATCCAGGCCCCCTGGACATCTACTCGTCCACCCTGGAATCATGGAAGTGGATGGCACCTCCTGTTACGTATTCGGATTGCATCGTCCATTTTCCACTTCCATGACGGTTCCAGGGAGCAGCGCTATTTCCCCTTCCGCTCCAGCATGTCAAAGACGCCCTTCAAGTCTCCGCGGAAGCCATACTTTGGCAGCACCTGGCTCTGCACCTGGCGCACCACCAACGGACTTTCGACCAACCCCGCAACCGACCGGAGTCGACGGTGCGTTGCGGAGGAGGTCGACCGTGAGTTCACGTGGGATGATCCAAGGTCCCGGGCGGAGAGGAAGAGCTCTTGTCGCAGGAGGATGAGCTTGGGATCCTCCGCGGGAACGCGGGCAGAGGGGAGTCACCGTCTCCGGGGGTCGTTTCCTTGGCGGTGTTTGCTTCCGAGAAAAAAACGGCTTCTCCGTCCACGGTCCAACGATGTGCTGAGAGTTAGACCAGAAGAGATGATGATAATGATGATGATGATGATGATCTTGTTTACTTCTTCCAGCACCCAGGGCACTTGCGAGGTTTCGGTGATCCTGGTGATATTGGGTCCATACTCATCCTAATGATATGGCTGGTCAAAACTAGGAGACTGCAAATACATGCAAATACCTTGGTTGACCTGCCTGGCAAGTCAAGCGTCGTAGGTGTTGGGAGTTGGGAGTTCCAGGTGGAACGACCCATCCCTATGACTCTTCCAACTGGGCGATGGAAACCCTGTAGATGCCGAACACCGCCACACCGCATGGACACCTTGCTGTGGAAGTTCTCCAAGTTATCCAGCCTCGCGGTCCCCGTATTTGGCACGGATGAGATCGGAGCGGAGAGGGCGTCGTTCGTTCTGGGGAGAAGAAGGTTCCAAGGCACCTGCCCTGGTGGTTGTGGGCTTTCAGGTTCTATCTGCCTCTCACAAAGGGGGAGAGATTGCATGGCAGGTAGTGGTCGTCGATGTCCCAGATTTGATCACAAATCAATTCGACTATAGCCACTAGCGGCTCGCGCAAAGAGAAGCTGTGGCAATAAAATCCTCGAAGACTGGCCCAACCACCAAACTCTTGCCCTACTAATGTCGAAAAGGGTTCTTCAGCTTGAAGAAAACGTTCACGTTGCACCAGAGCTTGACTCAGGTTTGCAAAGGGATTTTCCAAACAAGTTCTACCACACATGCATCATGGCCGGTTTGCACTTTTCGGCATGTTTTTGTTGGACGGCAAAAACAGCATACAGCACCCCGGATTGATGCCATTGTTTAAGAACAAAACATCCAACACCGACCGACCCCTCGTGCCAACCGGTGTGCCTCTGTTGGAAGCTGGGCGCTGAGAAGCCCTGGTGAAGCTCTCGCTGCAGTGCCACCGCTTGCTGAACACTGAGCTCCGGTACACCTGGGTTCAAGCTGAGCTCCGGTGGCGGACCACTCGCCCTGGAGGGCCTTCGCCGAGATTGGCAACAGGAGATTGGTGGAAAACAAGGATTGTGGGTCAGGAACCTATATATAAATCAACTGATATATACATATCCCTGGATTTCTTGGCCTTTTCTATTTGGCCGCCTCTTATATTCCACGGTCTTTTTCTGGCTTCAACATCTGGTCGAGTCTTCTCGGCTCCCACACCTTCTTCTTGCACTTCCTCTTCGAGCTCCACCGGCGGCCGACCCAACAAGCCGCTGCCCACGGGCGCCTGCGCGCCAAAACCAAGAATGGTGCAAAAGAAGCCGTTTGCTCAAGAAAAAGGGATATCCAAGAAGGCGTTTTAACAAATATATAGGTATATGTGATACACGGAAAAAACAAAAAAACACGTACACATGCTACCAGTCAATTCCTTTTCAATGGCCTCCAACATGACAACCCACCCAAATGCCTTCCCCCACGATCCAGTGCTCACGGCGTACGGACCTTCTTGGGTCCAGCGAGGCCGAACAACTTTCCGGGATCCAGTCGAAGCCGATCCTCCACACCTCAGGGAGACAGTGCCATGTGCGACCTTGCAGGTGTGGAGTGTGGAGAAATGATCAGGAACTTCAAGAATCAAGATGAATCAAGAAATGTGTGTTATCATTATACTACTTTGTTTAAGAATGTTTAAGACATACTCTTCCGCAAGTGTGACTGCTAAGGCCGGTCAACTACTGGGCGCGGCACTGCTTGCAAGCTCCCGTGTAGCTTTGTCATTGGCGTGCGTCTGCAGGAAGGAATGGGTCAGTCTGGGATCCACACCGTCTTGACATTCATACAAACCTTTGGGGGGGCTATGGGGACACTATGTGGAGACAACACACACCCAAATGGATTGAATATAAAAGTAAAAGTAGCTCGATCTCCGCGCTGAATTGGGGAGCGTCTCGTGTCTTGCACACGGGAAGGGACTGGGACTGGCACTGCCTCTGCTTTGCAGAACAACCCGAGAAGTTCACCCCTGTTGTTCCAAGAGAAGAACAATTCAGATCAAAAAAGGCAAAACACGTTAGCGCCATGGCCTCCTCCAGCAACGCGGGGTCACATGAAAAGCCAAACACTATATATGCAATACTGATTGCCCCACACATTTCACCTCTAGCCTTTACATGCGTGCACGGCACGCACCGGGGATCTACCGGGAAAATTCGCCGGCCTTCACCGTGTCCAGAAAGCGCTGGAGCTTCCAGTTCCGCCCAACGCCCACCAGATCCGTCACCTTCTGGAGTGCCTCGATGACGACGGTTTTTTCAACGGGGGCAACAAGGGGGGCACATGGTGTCGTTGTTTTTCATGACACCAAGGAAGGGGTCCGGTTTTTGTGTCTTTATTTCTCGAAAGTGCATCGATTTCATGGGAGGCATTGGAGGCATCCTGCCACTGCTTTGATGTGGGGAATTGCCCAGGCCAACAGGAAAAAGGTGCCACACTCCAAGAAAGAAATCTCCATCGGCTGGCCAACACATACATCCAAATCACCCAAAAAACAATCACCCAAAAGCGGCGGGTTCCGTTCGCCACGCACGGTCGCTGCGCGTTTCCGCTCAGCGCAGGCTCCGTTCTTCGCGCCTGCCCCATCAGCTGGGTCAAGCCCAGTTGCAAAGCAACACCTCCGCCTGAGGACGAGGAGCGGAAGGGTCCGAGGCACGCTGCCATGGGTGGCGGACGGGGGGCCGTTGTCCAGGGAGGAAAGCAAGAACGTCCCCAAAAGACCTACAAGACATAAACAAGCAGACATGTGACATATTTATAGACAGACCCCAAGCTGCAGGGCCAATTCTTCACACACATCCATTCACTGTGTGTGTGTGTTCAGTCCAGCTGGAAGAAGCACCCTCACACGACACCCGCTGAGCTTCTGGCGATCGATTAACTTCTGCAGCTGCGCTTGGACCTCCTCCTGAGGAGCTGGCAAAATCCAAAAAAGGGTAACATATCTATCATCGCAGCAATTCCAAAAAGGGTGTTTGGTGTATGCTTCGCGCTCGTTCGCGCGAGTTTGCCCTGCCCCTCCTGCGCGCAGGCCTTTTCAAACTCCTGAGCGTCCCGAGTCGCCGGGTCATCGCTGGACAGCTCGCCGATGTCTCTCGGTGGTTTCAAGAGAAACTCTTCACTATGCACCTTCTAAACACCTTTCAACCTAATTACTCCATGATTCGCAGAAGTATGTCGCAACCCACTCACTTGACTTTCCAATCCTCCCCCCCCGAGCCATGCTCCCCAAATTCAAGCCAATTCAGATCAGCCCAGTTCGCACCTCCAGCAGTTTGCGCGTGAGCTCCACTGAGACAGGGCCACTGGACACCTCCTGCTCCACCAGCTCAACCCCCAGCAACATCAGCTCCTCTCGCCGATGCCCTTCGTGCGTCCAGCCGACGATCTCATCGTCCTGGTGGCAACGAAGGTCCGCAGGCCACACAGTGGGGAGGGTCTGATGGATATCTGCTTCCGTTCCTGAGTATAGATGCTCAGTCCATCTTTGACAGCTCACTAAAATGATCTACGGGGTCATGACCCATTGCAAATCTCACGGAGTCATTGTCTCCATTCTCCCCTCCCGAGGCATCCTTGAAGGCCACCCATGGTGCAGTGCCAGTGCCCGCTTTGAAGACGAAGCCTTGGATCAAGAGGCCAAGTATTCGCTATTGGTTCCTTCACTTGAAGGGGGTATTTAAAGGCCAACATGTGCAAGAGTCTTAGTTAGTCTTGATGCCACCCCAGTCTTGTTCTCTGATTTTGGAGAGTATCCTTTACGAGAGGCCAAGTCAAGAATGCTTGGCTCAGCCAGGAAGCGTGCCCTCTTCTGGATCTCCTCACGCCGAAGCTTCTTGGCCAGCGCATCGCGGACTGCTGCAAAGGTCCAGTTGCTCCAGATCTTTAGTTGAACTTCGCCTCCCACGCTAAGTTTGGTCCCCCAAAGTGAGGACCGCCCAGCCACGGGAGGTTCGAAGTCCGATATTTTGGTTGACCCTCCGAAACTCGGACCCACCGTTTAGCCACTGCATCCTAAGCAATCTGAGAGACTTGGCTGTGTATGGTTTTGGGGACCTTGGGGCCGGTTTGACCCCACCGCACCTGGTTCCACCGCATGCTTGATCGTGATCTCGTATTCTTGCGGCGGCCGCGGCACTGGCTTGGGCTTGGGCTTCGGCGTCGGCTTCGGCTGGAGCTGCGGAGGTGGCGGGGGCATTGGAGTCTGTGGAAGGTCGTTCACCCGCGGCGCTGCTTCCAGCTCTTCATGCACTCGGCTCCTCACCGAGTAGGGCTGCGGTCTTGGAGGCCCCTCATCATCGCTCTCTCCCTTCAGTGGTCGAGAAGGGGGTCGGCCCACATCCGCATAAGGGTGCACTGGTGGCATGGGCTCATCTGGTTGGACGGTCTGAAGGTCCGCACCCAGCACCAAGACCTGTCGCGTCTCACCCACGAAATCATCATCCTGCAGCAGGCCGGATGGAGGAGTTTGGATGGCAGTGGAAGGCCGATGGCCTTTAGACATGTTGTGTTCTAGAGGGTTAAGTGACTTAGATATCATTAGCAATTGGTGTTCTACTACAAGCTCAATATGGAAGAAAGGATCTGTCGTCTGCAAAAGTTCAGATTGAGACGTGTTGAGGGAAATCCCAGTCCATCATCCAATCAATGCAGCAGAAGTGCACCTTAGCCGCCCCAGCCTTGTAGGCTGAGTAGAGTCCGCCTTTCTTCTGCACTAACCTGGAGGTGTGCGGTGAAGGAAGACCTTTCGAAGATTGGACAACCATCAGAACACCACATCCCTGGCCAGCCCAAGTAAAGTCTCCTGAAGGTCCACTAGATCAGCTTCATGACCACTCTGCTATATAAATGGGTGCTGTCTGATCTTTCCAAACCCCCCATCCCCCCATCCCAGCCTTCCCTTGCGCAGGATCTCATCTCTGCCTCGGCGGAACGGCCGAACGGCCATCATCGCATGATCGCCACGTCGGCGTCGGCGCATGTCGATCGACACCCGGGCGTCCCGGCCCAGGAGCTTGGAGATGGCCTCGGGGGGAGAAGGCGTGGTTTGGCGTGCTTTTCCATGTGCTTTTGGTGCTGGATTGGGAGGTGATGAACATCAGAGAATCGATTGAGAATCTACATAGGATGGGTGCTGTTGAGGGAAAAGATTCATGGTCGGATGTTCTATGATGGGGATGTTGGAGATTGTGATGTTCCCAAGAATGGGAAAATGGAGCTCCGAGCCTGCTTGCAGTCGTAGAAGGTTGCATTTTGCGGCAGCTCCACTCTGACCTGACGGGAACCAAGGAGCCAACCTACCTGGAACTCCGGACTAGAGGTGTGCTGCGCACGTCATTCTGACACAACGGTGAATTCATAGCTGGCAGTTTTCTCACAACTTGCTACTTGCTTATCTTGCTTTCAGGGTCTAAATCCAAAGAAATAACAAATCCGAGCATTGAAAGCATCAGGATCCATATCTTGCGTTGGCTTCAAAGCCCAACTTCAAATTGAAAGACGATGAGGTCTTGCGGCCGCTCAGGGCTGCAGCGGAAGTCGCCGAGTCCGCGGTGGGTGCCTTGCCACCCAAGGCATCCTCATACCATGCACTCACCTGATCCCAGTTGACCACATCCCACCAGGCCTTGATGTAGTCTGGACGGCGATATTGGTATTTCAAATAGTAGGCATGCTCCCACACGTCGCAGCCCAAGATTGGGATGCCTGCCGTGCCCTCAACTCCATCCATCAAAGGGTTGTCCTGATTGGGGGTCGAGGTAATGGCCAGCTTCTTGTCATCAGTCACAACCAACCAAACCCAGCCAGAGCCAAAGCGCGCCCCGGGAGCTCCTGCTGCCTCGAACTTTGCCTTGAAGTCATCCATTGACCCGAAGGAGTCGTCAATGGCCTTCGACAACTTCTCCGATGGTTTCCCTCCCTTGCCAGTAGGTGCCATCTCCAACCAAAAGAAGTTGTGGTTGTATGCACCTCCACCACTGTTACGGAAGGCAGCCCCGTCCTTGATTGCCGACTTCTGCAGTTCCACAAGGGGTGGCTGACTCTTTCCTTCCATTGCCTTGTTGATGTTGGTCACATAGGTCAGGTGATGCTTGTCATGGTGGAACTCCATGGTCGCTTTGTCAATGGAAGGTTCCAGCGCATCATAAGCGTAGGGCAAATCTGGCAAATCATATGCGCGAGCAGATTCGCTCAGCAAACCAACCAGCCCAGTGGCTAAGCCGGCTGCCATCTCACGCCTGCTGGCCCCCCTGTGGACTTACGAAGCTGCAGTGCCAGCAGCACAGTAGCATCGCAGCTACCAGCAGGGCTGCACCACGGAATCGACGAGCCATTGTTGGAGTTCCAGCAATCGGCACCTGGACCTTGAGCAACTCAACGGCTGGACAAAGTTTGGATGGACTTCCTGGTTTTGCAACGCTTTCGTGTGGTTTAATTGACAGACAAGCTCCTAGTTACCACCAGTACGCATTCTGGTGCAGGTTCGGAAAAAGGGCTATCAAAATAATGCCGGCCCTGTATATAAAACACATGACGTTCTTAGATGTCCTTCGTCTCCTTTCCGAAACAAACGACCAAAGTGAGGGCCCATGCCTCTACGTTGTCCACTGCATGCCGCGCCACAACCTGTACAAAAGTCACAAGTCCCATTTTGCTCTGCCCAGCAACCATGCAACCAAGCCAAGAATCCCCCCTAAAACGAAGAACATCTCAGAGTTGAAGAAAATCACGGAATTTATGCACACCCCTTAGGTTTGAGATGAGTTGACTCTTCTACAAGCCTATGAACCTACTAGCGATGGCCTCCACCCTAGTAGCAATGGCCTCCAACCTAATAGCGATGGAAAAAGAACGGTGACCATCCAGAGTCGTTGATAGACGGAACGTGCGCACCTCAATGCCCCCAGCTCGGCCCACGGCCGGCGCCGGTTTGGGCGCGGCCGGGCGACCCGCCGCTTTCGGCTTCGGCGGATCCGGCTCCAGGGGCGGATACTCGGGCTCCTGAGAGAACCGAGGGAGTTGTGATGTGTGTGTGGTTTGTGTGTTGTTCTTTCTTGCGGAAGTTTTGGGGCTTCAACGAGATTTAGGGGTTTAGGGTTTGGGGTGTCCAGGGATTTCTAATGGGTTTTGCCAAACAAGATCTTCCTGAAGATTGTCTTGTCTTAGATTCAAAAATGGTCCCCTAAGGATGAAAGTCATGAGTCATGACTCAAAATGACTCTCATGACTCATGACCCGGAAACTGCCTATACTAATGTGTATATCCCAACTTGATGTTGGTCACAAGCCAAAGAGAAGGCAGTCCCAAATCCCACACACCCTGTGATCAGACCGGGTGGAAACCGCTTTGAACGGAATCGATCTCCTGGCCCGGCTCGCCGGGGATGCCAAAGAAGGCGCCGGGAGGCATGCGCAAGAGGCGTTCCACCTGGGTTCGCAAACCCGACCGGTTCATCGCTGACGTCGGTCTCTGATGAGAAGACTATTAAGAATACACATTGATTACACATGGTGAGTCAAACTTCAGCACAATAACCACACTACTGTCTGAACATTTTCCGTAGGCGTCTCCTGCTTTCCGGGCATACACAATGTAATGTGAAGATGCAGGGTTGTGACGTTACGCAAAAGTCAACGAAAACAAAAAGCATGAAGCACATAAGCTACTAGTAACAAGTGCATCGCTATTAGTAACAAGGGCATTACTACTAGTAACAAGAAGCTACGAACGTAGCTTCTGCACTCGTCGATTGGAATGGTCCATCTGGTCTGGTCTCCGGTTTTTTGCAAGGTTTGGAGACGGTTACCACGTTCTTCGCATCGTTTCGGATGCCTCGTGAGCCTGTGCTTTCACGTGGACGTTCCAGGCATGCTTGCCGATTCCTCTGGCCATGTCCTGGTAGCCCTCTGTGGTCAGAGGGAAGTCATACATCGCCTCACCGGTCAAGCGATGGGCAACACGGCGACGGTGACGCATCGATGTTCGCTCGCTTCCCAGCGAAGAAGAAGGCTTTGGAGGATCAACCATCACTCCCAAATACCTTCTTCTCATCATTTCTCATCATTTGACACGCCCCAAGACCACCAGCAATCTCGGCCAGGTCACCATCGTCCGATTGAACGACTGCGCAATGAAAATCGGCTGCATCTTTTGAACGGAATCCGGCCCTGGCGCGCATGGAGCGGCCCACCCGCCGAGCGGCAACCAAAGGCCGCCCCTTGGGGTGGATGGGCCCCTTTTTGAGCGTCTGCCAAAACGTGATGTCAGGTAGAGATTCAGCAATGGCAATGGTTGTCGCTTTTAAGAGGGGCCTATCGCTTTTGCAGGTTTTAGCGACGCTGGTGAAATTCACAACTGCTCTTTACTAAATTAGTCATAGCACGTTTTAGCGGTTCCTTATCTCAGGGGTCTCAGCTAAAAATGCGTATAAGGATCCCAACAATGCATTGAATCATCTGGCGCCCATGGTTTTTTGGCTACTTGATGACCCTCACTAGCTGGGAGATGCTGGAAGCATTGTCTAGTCAACTCCTCAGGTGGGTTTTCCCGGTTCTTGATGAAGCAAAAAGAGCATGCTTCACCTGGAGACCTCGGAGATCCCCAAAACCAAACCCTCGGTTTCACCAAGAAGATCGCTTTGAAACCCATGCTCCTGACTCCGAGAGCCCTCTTGGCCGCGCTCAAACGAACCAAACGCCGCCTTGCTTGTGAATGTTGCCCAGAGTCCGCTGGAACTCCTGCCCAAACGCACTGCAAAATGCTGCAAAACGTTCGTTGCAGCTCCTTTCCGTCCTTTCCTTTTACAAGAAAAACATAGAACTGATAGAACACTGATTTCACAGATGCCAAAGGTTGACACATCCTTTCGTTCCTCTCCTTCGAGCTGGCGATTTCCCGAAACGCCTGGAACCCGCGGTCGGGGAGGACCGGTCCGGAGCGCGGGCGGTCCGAAGCGAAAAGCGACGGAGGCCGGAGCTCCGATAGGGTATGAAATCAGCGGAAAAGGTCCATGAAAGAGAATGATAAGCTGAAGACTACCCCGCAATTGTCTGATCTACACTGTGTCATCCTGTCCAATGTCAAACCCCTCCCAAAACCGAAGCTCCGACGCCTTCAAAAGGCCGACGATGAACCAGGTGCAACCCTTCAACGTTGGTCCCTTTTTCCCAAGCAACTTCCTGGATTCTCTCCCCTTGCGCCCCAAGCCCGAGCCGCACGCCTTCAGGAGCTCTTTGGCCTCGCCTAGGTTCAAGGGCCGATCCCGTGTGGCTTTCGGCTCCGCGTCGTTGGATTTGGGCACCTGCCGCGGGGTCGGTCGGGCCCGGTATCTCCCGTGGCTTCGTGGTCGGACTGGGTGGGCCTTTCATGATAGTTCAAGCATGTTAAGACTGAAAGAAAAGCGCTTCACAGTAAGGATGCCCTTTCTTGCCATCAAAAAGTCTTTGATGGTCTTTGCATGGAACGCGCTCAGTGTGGTCGACTGCTTGCAGGACGAGCAGAGACTCACCGCAGTGCATGATGTCGACGGCGGAGTGTTTTTTTACGGACGACATCAGACGAGCTCAACTTCGGGATGGGGCTTTGCCAGGAAATTATGTCACATGTCACAAAGGAGCGGAGCCCGCAACATCGCTAATCAGGCCCCAGTCAGTCACTCAATTCATCCAGTGGTTGCAAAGATGGAGATTCTCTGGACCTACAATCAAGGGCTTTGCTCCTCATCTAGTGATAACATGTGATAACTTGGATCTGCTTGGAGGTGGTTGGATATTCCTGTTCAACACGTGCTCACACGGGGCCCGCTGCATTTGTGCTTCCTGGGAATGATCCTGGCCTTGGCTAATTGAGCCGCATGCGGCTGGTGAAACAGGATATTGTATCCCTTGCAACAGATCACTCTGCTGCCTGCTACTGGCTTTGGACACTTCCACGCTTTCATCACTGCGATCAAAAGGAGCCATGCACATGAGAGCTACGCGCGAAAAAGAGGACCCGAAACGAACAAAAACTGCTCTGTGCCGTGTCTCACTCCGCAGGGGGACACGCAGTGGACCCGTCGAAGTGGGCTTCTCAGACCAGAAAGCGCCTTCGAGCCGCCTGGGCGAAGCGGCGATGTCGCGAAGCGCTAAGCGCGCGGCTGGGGACGCGGGACCAGGATCTATCTAAGCGTGGCGAAGTAATTGTGTTGCCCATCACAAAAAGACAACGAAACCCCCAACGTGGGGAGTAGGGTGTTCGAGTACTTCACGCACAGCTGCTTCAAAAAAGTGAATTGCTTGGCACAGCAAACACGTGTTCCTTTGGTTTGGGGTCACCCGTTGAACCCCCCGAAAAAGCTGCAGCTCGTACAGCCCCAAAACCACTGCCCCCCACGCCCAACCGAAGCCCAAGACCACTCCCTTCCCCGGCCTGGTTGGACGAGCTGGAGGACGTCCGCGCCGGACCTGCAGGATCGAAATCCGTATGTAAGGCACTTGTTACTACTAGCGTGGCACTTGTTACTACTAGCGTGGCACTTGTTTCTACTAGCTTCTTGTTACTACTAGTAAGGCACTTGTTACTACTAGCGTGGCATGATTTCTACTAGTGGCACGAATCACTACCTTCACTTGGAATATGTTGGGAAATCGTGCCACTACTCACTACTGGTCACTAGTACTACCTATTTGGGCGAGCACGTTCTTTTTTGTGCCATAGTTTCCACCTGGCCACTTAGTGTCCTTCTGCAAGTTTCTATAAGTAACAGCCATGATGTCAATGTCCTTTGTGGAATAATAGAGGGGATCAATGCCGGGCAAAACAGACCGACTTGGTTGTACACGACCGAGGGTATCCCCTCAATTCATGAACCAACGAATACAGTATATATATAGTTTTTCGACGGAGGGATTGATGGCGATCTTGAGGAATCCAAAATAGTTGTGGTGGTCGGTGTATCAGTCTATCGCAAGATCGTTGCCTATCCTTTCAATTCTGGGTGTTGACATACGAACATGCGTAGCTGGATCAGAGGTTGCTTACTGTCTAGACGATGTCTAGACCAGGTAGAGCGAACTAACAACCTTAGATCTTTTTGCAATTGAGAATCTCAGCCTGGAGTTTTGGCCATCTTGGGTGAAGTGCGATGGCCAACTCCTAGTTAGGAGTCTCAGGGGCCTCGGAGATTTGTTAATTTCATAGTAATTTCATTCATAGGTGCCATTTGCTACTATAGTAGTAATGCCAGGAGCTACGTTCGTAGCGTCCGATCGCTCCGTTCGTAGCGATGGCCTCCAACCTGCTTGCGATGGCCTCCACCGAGCATAGCGTCCTTGTTACTAGTAGCTTCTTGTTCCTAGTAGTAAGGCCAGGAGCCCCTAGTAGCGTCCGATCGCTCCTAGCAGCGATGCCAGGAGCCCCTAATAGCATCCTTGTTACTCGTTTGTAGCTCCTCCAGTCTCCCCGCCTCGGGGAGAAGCAGCGTCCCGGTGGGCCGGTTGATAGGACTGGGCCTTCTGCTGCTGCTTCAAGCCCTCTTGCTGCCTGGGAAGAGAGAACCCTGTGACATGACATGACACACGTCATCTTACTCCCAAATCCCCCACTTCATTGGATCATCCCATCCTCTGACGAAAGGTGTTGCACCTCTGCAAGAGCTTCTGCAGCTTTTGCAGCTGTTCGATTTGGTTCTGCAGCTGCTGCGCAGATTGCGCTTCCGGCTCATCCTCAAAGAGCTCCTCGTGAGGACAACATGGCACATGTGAGTCGTCTCATTTTTCCGAAACTCGGCTCCCAAGTTCCCCTCCCCTCACCTTCAGCAAGGGCTTGAAGTCCGCAATCCGACGCCTGGGGCTGCCCTTCTGCGCCCTCGCACCCCGCGCCATTCCGGGCACCGCGACCACCGCCGCCGCGCGTGGCGACGCGACCACCGCGGTCAGCGGCTCTGAGCGCTCGAGGCGCGCGCGGGCGGTCAGTGGACAGGCGATGGAACGACGCACCTGGAAGGCGGAGGCGGAGAAATGTGAGATCTCAATGGGCACAGGGGTGGTGAGATGTGCAGAGATCCAGAGTGGAAAGCCATGAGAAATCTTGAGAAGTCATGGGAAGTGAAGTGGGTGGTAGAAAGGCTTATGGGATGGTTCTGTTTGACCCCTCAAGTCATTGAGAAACAGAAACACTGAAAACACAAAGACCCTGCCTCACGCGAAGGTGTGTTCAACTGCTGGATGACCACTTGTGCCAGGGATGGCACAGGCTCAGGCGACCTCAATCGTTCAATGAAGAGCTGAGATTCAATGCAGCTGGACATCCCCTATCTTCAGAAGTGAAAAAGCATCGAAAAGTGTTTGGAAGAATCAGAATCATGTCCCCCCCATTAGGATCTTGTGCTTGCACCACCAGCAACAAGCAGTGAACTTCCTTACGTTTGCTCTTCCGCCAACATGTGTTCAGCGGACCACTTGGTCAGTCTTTGTCCCTCCCGACCCTGCCGCGTTCAGCGGCATTCCAAGCAACCCGCCCCCGTGCAATGTGGAGGTGTGTAGCTAAGTCTTCGGGAGACCGAGCCCCATTTCGAACCCCCTGGAAGAAGGAAAGTAGACGTATAAGACCAATTAATTGGGAGATCCCCCTATCATCACACCCAAATGGGGAAACCTGAGTGGATGTCGAAAACAGTTCGACTGGCGGGTTGATCTGCCAGATCCCTTCAGATGCGTATCACACCCACGGGCAGGACATGCACCGGCATCTGCTGTGGTCCCCCACTTGGTCGTCGTTAGGAGCGATGGCACCGAGCAGGACTGCGCAAAGAATCGAGGCATGCTGCAGCTGCCAGGCCTGGATCACAGTCCAACGTCATGGGTTTTAGAGTGCCTTCTCCGTCACCTGATCACTGCAAGATACCATAAGTCAAGACAATGACTTTTGCATGTCCTTTTGTGCAAGAATAGAGGGGTCAATGGAGGTACCACTGTTCCAATAATAGGAGCAAGAAGCTACTACGAGCAAAGGGCATCGCTAGGAACGTAGCGATCGGACGCTACGATCGTAGCTCCTGGTCTTACTACTAGGAGCAAGAAGCTACTAAAAGGCCATCCACATCAGAAGATAAAGTCACCCAGTCACTGAGGCTGCTGCTGCCGCTGCAGTCCTGAAACCGGGTCGACCTGCGGTCTGTGTGTCAAGTCTCGTCCGTCGTCCCTACTGCTGTGATGTGCCACCCGATCAGATCTGGGTGTCCCTGTCTGGTCCAATCTGGCTTTGGGGGTGGGGGGGGAAGGATCATTAACGGATCCATCAGTGCCAAAGAAGCATTCATGGTGGCCGGGGCGACCCCAGTTCCACATGTTGTCGAAGATCATTCTATGACCCATGGTCGTTGTGATGACTTGCCTGACTCAAGTCACAACCAAAAATGCCAACCTCCTCCCCAATTCACCTGAGACAGACAACTTCGATGTCGGCGTCGGACGTCCCTTTTCTACGGCACGCGCAGGATTAAATGAACACCTGACATGGTCGACACAATCTCGGAGACCTGACCCACCTGGAGGCCGAACGCTGCGTCCTCGAAGGCCAGCTCCCGCTGTCCCCGTCCAAAGCGTCCATAGTCCCCGCCCTTCTTGGCAGATGCACAATCAGAATCGCTTCGGGCGAGATCGGCAAATCTGGCACGCAACTCCTCACCGCTTAAGCCCACCAGCTGGTTTGCAATCTCTTCCAAGTATTGCTCAGCCTGCAGCTTGCTGCACGTGATCGGCTGCCCTCCACGGTTTTTGGGTTTTCGTGACTCTTTGTGCTTCCTAAGGATATGCAGCACGTGAACCTCTTCTGCTTCCGCATCATGGACGACCGTCTCCACTGCAATACTTGGCGCCTGCGCGCGCTGCGCATCGGCCTCTTTCAAGAGACCCAGGAGTCCCAGTCCTCCGCCGTTGTCTTCGGCCGGCGTCAGCCGCGCGGCCGGCGCGACGTCGATTTGCCGTGGACATTTGGCCGCTGGAGCGGTGTCATCGGCATTCATCTGGCGGGAAAGGGCCACCAACGAAGACAGAAGACGGCGGGGTTGGTCACACCACCTACGACCTACCTACACCATGCTACCGACATCTATACCTACTGACGACCCAAAACATGACAGACTGCTGAAGACATGGGGAAATCAATCAGATGAATCCCCAAAGACACATGGCGTTGGGCGAGTATTAGAACAGCCCTCGACCCCACCTGGCCGCAGCTCATGATCGTCACCTTCTTCGCGACACGGCCCGACCTGGAGCCCAAGGTTTCCATCTTTTCGACTACCTCAAAGCCCTGGACCACTTCTCCGAAGACCACATGCTTGCCATCCAGATGTGGAGTCGCATCTAAACAAATGAAGAACTGAGAACCATTGCTGTTAGGTCCGGCATTGGCCATGGACAGGCAACCTTTCTTGTGTTTCAGCTGGAAGTTCTCGTCTTCGAACTTTTCCCCGTAGATGGATTCGCCACCTGTTCCGTCCCCACGAGTGAAATCGCCCCCCTGACACATGAAGGAAGGAATGATCCGATGGAAAGTAGAGCCTTCGAAGCTCAAGCGTTGCTTGGTTTTGCTGCTCCGGCCCATTTCACCGGAGCAAAGACATCGAAAGTTCTCCACGGTGCGCGGAACGACATCTGCAAAGAGGTCGAACTCAATGCGCCCAATCCACGCCCCATCGACCGCAATCTCGAAAAACACCTGCACCACGTTCTTCTCAAGAGGCTTCTCCGGAACCGGCGGAGCAGAAGGCTCCACGCCCATCCGCGCGAGCACCGCTGCCTTCTGCTCCGCCGCCACACGTGCTTGCTCCTCCACCTGCCCACGGGGCCGATCGGCGGGCGACCCTGACCTCACGCCACTCACGCCACTCCGGGCACTGGGCATCTCCGCTTCATCCAGGCTGGCGTCCGGGACTCCTTGGACTTGAAGCTCTTCAGGAGCTTCGTTGTCCTCGTTGTCCTCGTTGTCCATGTTCAGGACCATCTCAAGCATGTCCCTGCGCATTTGCTCCTGGCCTTCGGGCGGCGCATTGTCATAGACTTCCATGATCTCAGCCTTGTACTCAGGCGGAGGACCATCTCCGGTCCGGGCCGAGCGCTGGATCCAGGCGTCGATGATCTCGCCGAAGGAGGCCGAGCCATCCAACGGCCGGACGGCGTCCCGCGCGTCCGCGTCCACGGTGCGGTTGGGCGCGGCAGCGACGGCGGCATCTGGAACGGCTTGGTCTGGAGGGTGCGCATGGTGCACTTGGCGCTCTGCAGGCAGCTCTTCCGTTGCGGCAGTGGAGTCTTGCACCTCCTTCTCCTCCTCGGAGTCGGAGTAATAGTTTAAGCCATGCATTTTGGAGGCGCCTGGAATTTGAATCTGTTGAATTGCTACAGGTAAGACAATTGGAGTGCAGAATGTGTTGCATACAAGTACTGTTCCAGAATGGATTGCTCTTTCCTTGTTGGTAAGTTGCCACTCTTGTGCGGGGTGTGCGGGAAGCTGTGCTGTCCAAACCTCCAGCTAAAACATCTGGCCGAATCTGGGATCTTCAAGACTGTACTATCTCAAACAAACAGTGCTTCATGTTGAAGAGGATGGATGCAATGCTGGTCGGGGTTTTGCTTGTAACTTGTTGTGACTTGTTCTGTATGGTGCTGGCTGAACATTCTGAGCCAGCAAGCTCTGCAACAAAAAGCGAGCTACGACTGGCAAAGTAACAGGCTGGTTCCAGTATAGATATCCACTACTTCAACTCAAAGTCCGTCCACTTGGCACCTTCTACTCTTGACAAGAGACAACTCGAAGTCCACCAACAAAGCAAGACTTCCATGCTTTCAACTGGGGCATTTCCTCAAACCGAGGCTGAGTCGCACCACACCCAAACAGACCAGTTCTGCAAATGTTATTGCAACAATCACGATGGAAGTGAGATCAATTGATCCAAGCAGAGTTGTTTGTTGGGCCAACAACGCGAAGAAAAGGTCTCGGCTGGTGAAAAGGGAATCTCCCAAAATCTGCGTTGCACGTGGAGCGCTCAACTCTGTCTTTCACTTTGGTGATATAGAACAATACTAATTACGGCACAAACACAGCAACCCATGCAAACCTGATGGATTGAGCACCATACCCTTCTCATCCTTCTCCTTCTCAGTCACTGTGTGTGTAAAGGCATGTCGCAATTGCTTTCTTGCACCACCCGCACATCAAAACGCGCGTGAGGTTTGTCCCGTCTGGCGCACCGTGGCGGGAATTCCGGGTGCCAGCGCTACGGTCGGAACTCCAATGGGCCTTGCCGGAGGCGATCAAGATCCACCTTTTCAGTTGAGCCCTTCAGGAAAAGAAGCCAATAATAATAGCCATCCCACCAATCCCTAGTCAGCACAGTTGAAATCTGCTTGTCGTATGAATCACTGGAAGAAATATCAGTATGTCGTACACTGAAAGAAGGTGAAGGATGCACTGTCCCATTGCAAACGAAATCTTCTCAGATCCAAAACCTGTTTAGCGCAAAACCCGAGTCAATCAGAACCAGCTGAAAAACTCAGATTTGAGCGCTTCCCTGCCAGTCCCCACCTGTCTGGAGTTCCCAGCCCTGCCGGAGAGGAGCTCCTGCAGTCGGTGCAACCGGTGTGCAAGAACCTGGACGCGTCATGGAGTCATGGCAGTGTAATAGAGAAGATATATAACTCTATGTACTTACAAACCCGAACTTGGCCCAAAACTCAGAACTTCTTGAGCCCCAGATCCTGTCCATCCGGGCTCCTGGGCATCCGAGAGGCGTAGGCGATGGGCACCGAGACGGTGTAGGCGCCCCTGGACGAAGAGGAACCAGGGGTGGAGAAATGGCTGGAGACGTCGCCCATTTGAGAGATGCCCAGATTTAGAGAAACTGTTGACTTCAATGACTGGCTTGCAAGCATCATTCAACCTAGTTAGCTAGAGCGACATCTAGTGAAGGATAAAGTCAGTCTGCAGCCTGAAAAGATGTACTAAAACTTGTGGATTGGTGGTTCTGTTCCCTTAGGGGAGTGGGAACTTCATGATCGAATCTCCAGCAAGTCACACTGTCGCTAGCTAGCAGTGGATCTGAGAGATCCAAATGTAGTTGCACACTGAGAGTTCAAAATACCCTTGTTGCACACCTACATATATTATATAGTGGGCCCCAAATAGATAGTGGCACGGTTTCCAATATGTTTTTAGAAACGGGATCTACTTTTCTATCTATATGTGTATAGGCATATACAACAACCCAACTATGCCACCCAAAAACCATGTGACCCTCCCTACCTGGGGCTCGCCAGCGGCATGCTGGCCGAGAGGTCCGGCACCGGCGGCACCTGGCTCCAAACCAAACCCATCACGACAACAACATGCATCTTAGGGAGATCAAATGCAGGAACTAAGTGAGAACCAAACGCCAGAGTGGCGTTTCTAAAGCGTTGCACTGCATCAAGAGTTACGGTTCAGTTTTCAAAGTCGTGTGGCTCAGGCGTCTGGCTTTGCGCAATTCTGGTCGTCCCACAATTCTCGCCCGCTCCACTGGTGCCAATGGAGCGCTCGGGGGCCTTGGTCGGAGGCCACTCGACATGGCGGACTCAACACTGGAGGGCGTGACTTCTTCCTGGACCAGCCCAAGCATGGCCCAACCATGGCCCAGTGGACTCTGAAGGCTGGAGGCGCTTGATTGGACCCTTTTTTTGTGAACTCGTTTTAAAGGAGAAAATGAGTCTTCTGCATGAAGGGCATGGCTTTGCAATCTCAAAAACATGTAAACACCAACAATAATAATTAGAAGTGCAAGTGTTGGGGAACCGATGGTGGACTTTCCGTGGACTTTCCGACGCGGCTGGGCTGCTATGCCGCGCTTTTCTTAATGTTTTGTCCGCATGTAGGTTTGCCGCACATACCTGAACCCCAAACATATTGGGAGAGGATCATTGAGAGGACACAACTTTTAGTTTAGGTCAATTGAAGAAGCTTCCACTGGAATCCCCCAATCGACCACAAATCTCAACGAACGGGAAGGAAGCATCCTCAACGAACCAAAAGCCAGCAAGCTGAAGGGAAAAAAGGAAACGAAAAGCCGAAACAGAGCGACACCCACTTCGTCAAAACCGAATGACCCCTCCCCCTTCCTTCATCCACCGGATGCACAGTGGGCACCCGAGCGGAACCACTGTCGCCCGCACAACCCTCTGTGGAGGGCCAGTCTGAAGAGGAGCTGAGGCAAAGGCCTAAGGGGTCCGGACTCTTTTAATTCAGTTGGCTGCTAGAAAAATACCCAGCTAGAAGACTACACCCTGCTTACAACAAATACTATAACTCATGCCATCAGATACGATAGGATGTCAACCGACCATGGTCTAGTGGAGGAGGTCTTGACTCACATGTAAAATGAAGTTAAACGGCTAATGAAAATGGGCACGGGAAAAATGGGGCTCCACACCGATGCGTCGCTCGCTGGAGCCTGCGTTCATGGGCACAACAGCCATTGGTAGGAAAGAAAGAGGCCAGGTTCCGAATACATGCGGAACCGACCTTCCTAGGCAAGTGGAGGTGTCGAGACAATTGCCTTTGTCTCAAGCATTTTGATCAATAGACTCCCAATCAGAAGACTTCCAACTTGCAACCAGGCCCCATTCGATTGAAGAGCCATTCTCCTCTAGGATTTGGGACCAATCCCAACCCTCCCAAGCGCCTCACCAGCAGTGGTTTTCCGGTCGGCCCGGGCACCTATACCTGGCGCGCCAACCCATTTGGACAATCCAATGATCCCCACTCCTTTGAGGGGGGACCACCCATTTGACCACTTTCTGGGTGCAACCAGCTCAAGATGATCCTCATGCCCCCAAAAGCGGATTGCTGCAAAGGAACAATGACCACAAACTGGTAGACACTTGTAAGGGTTTCGAGGGCCAAGCATTGGTGTGATCTCTCAACAACACCAAGCTTGTGACTTCCCAACCAAAAAATTCAACGCATCAGGCTGACCGACCACGACCACATCCAGCAATGCTGTGACCGTTAGGAAACTTGCAGCGTCCAAAGCCTAAAGAAATCGCAAATGAAACCGCTTGGAGTTTGGGCCAAATCGCGCGAGACGCCCACCCGCCCCCCATCATGCCGCAGCCATGCGCGGGCCTGGCTTGCCTGGCTTCGGCACGTTTGGCCTGGGAAGCGCTTTGGCTTTGGCCTTGCCTTTGGCACCTGGCCGACGCCAAGACTCTTCGGTTCCTTTCATGTATTTTTCATGTGTACCGGGCCGTACGGGCAGTTCGAGTTCGGGGAAATGGTTCCCTCAACGTCGCTCCATTTTCCCGGCTGGAAGAAGCAGGACTTCAATCTACCTCATCCATCCCACCCAATGACCCACGCACCCACCTGCACCACCTCTTCTTTGCACATCCGTCTTCCGCGAGAGCTCCAGCGGCGTAATCATCCGACACGCCGACTTCGAGGCCGTCAAGCATTCCGGATCGCCTGCGACCGAGGCGGCTTCGCCGGCGGCGGCTTCGCCGATGTTTCGCGACCGTGTCGTCCAGGCAAAGGTCACCGTATGGGAAACTCAGGTGATGTATGAGTGTTATGATAGTTGCAGTTGAACATGCAGATCGACATCCGCATCCGCTGCTTATTCAACACAGAGTCCAACCAGCTGCTGATCTGCCATCGCAAAAAAGGAAACGGCCGACGAAAAGGTCACTGAGACGGGGACTTCCGGCATCTTCTGCTTCGATGCCGGTGCTCTGGCTCTCATTCTCCTGCGTTCTGAGCCATCCATCCTTTTAGGCTAAAGGGTGGAACATCAAGTGAAACTATCGGCGACATCTGCACAATCCTTGCACTCGAACCCTCAAGATGCCTTGCTTTCGGTGCCGCTGGCGGCAGAAAGGACTCCTTCCGGATTGTCCCGGATCACGGTGCCCTGCATCCACCCGATCTCATCCACTGGACTCGGTGGTGCCTCGGAATTCTCTTTGTTCCTCTTCATGCCTTGGAATTCTCAACACTGGACACGGCAGATCGAGGAGGAAGACCAAAAGGAACAGATCCAGGTCCTGGACTGGTCCGGCACCTATTGGTTAATCTAGGGATCAAAATGGGTTGGACATACCAGGAGTTTGCAGTCTTTAGACCCACCAAACTGAGGAGAGTGTGGGTCAGCGTGGGTTATATACTCCAGTCTATTCAAGTGAAAGTAGTTCTCACACCAACTAGAGTTTGCTGAGCAAGAAAACTGGTCAGTCAGCCTGTCCTATACCATGAAATGTAGACTCTTGATTTAAAATCCTCTTCATATGGGGGGGTTTAATAATCAAGAGTCTAGAGTCTACATTATGTATCTGTCACTCAGATTTCCTGGCATCCCAGAAGATCAAGACAGAAAAGTGGAATCCCTTCGGCCCTCTCCTAGTCGCTACTTTTCACCTAACCATCAAAAGACCTCCACCGCTCTCCTTGAGCTCCCCTGGTCCCCACGCCCATCCCCTCTCCGGGCCGCCCAAACGGTACGAGAGCGGCGTCACAAAGCGCTGCACGTCCTCGGAGCGTCCAGGAGCGAGGAGGGCGGTGCACTTGGGATGAAGGGGGGGCCTCTCAGGTTGCAGACCTCTTTTGGGCAGGGACCTCATGTTTGGGACCTGCTGATGGGTGGAGCTGAGTGAGAATTCTGCCACTTGTATCACTTGTTGACCTCACTCCATCCAATTGAGCAGTAATGCACGAGATCTGGATGGTTCTATGAATGGTGAAACAAACACAGTTGTTTGATCTCGCAGTGTCCACAATTCTCTCCCCCATCTGGACGTCGACAAACAGCCGATTCCCAAAACCCACAAGAACTTCGCACTGAGAGCTGCACTACATCACCTGGTTCGAATGACTGGTGCCAAAACGTTCAAAAACTAAAAAATAAAGCACATCTGGATCAAACTGCTGAAAGCAGCACCCTTCTCTCTCCCACTGCTTGCTGCTTCAGTGGCGCGTGGGCTTCGGTCGAGGCGTCACCACGGCGGGGCAGGGCGTGGAGGACGACATCGCGGAGGACCGGGGCCACGCGGGGCCACGGGGCCCGAAGGGCGTGGCGAGAGGCGGGGGGCGGAAACGGCGATGCGGACGGCAGGCTGTGAGGCATGATTTCATCTTCATCTTGAATCTGAAGATGAGAAGTGATGGAGAGTCACAGAAGGAACTGGTGGGCTGCTATCGAATGAGACACCTGCATGATCTGTGATTTGGCTTTGAGCCAGAAAGCAGAAGAAGAAAGCCCTTTCCCACTCTGAAAGCACGGAAGAGTGTGACTTGAAAAAAAGAAAACAGCAATGCAACAAGGGCCCTTCGTTTTGTCTCTTGAACCAACAGAACAGTTGCTGACTTGTCATAGCCACTCGCAAATCAGCCATCAGGGCTGATTAAGCCACCCAAGCCACCCCCCACCTGCGCGGTGCCCGCAGCCGCAGCGCCCCGCGGAGCTGGACTGGCTGGAGCGGGCGACAAGGTGATGCCCACCATGAAGACTTGCCTTTTGCCACCCAGCCTGAAGGCAGTAAGAACCAAGACACGCAGTTTCGTGTGCATTCTTGAAGCAAAATGAGGGAACAGCTTGTGATGCTAGTGTCTTCAGCACTTTTCCATGGGCCTCACCCCCATGTGCATCCTTGCCTTTGGCCATCCGGCACCGGGAGCAGCTCCCCACTGGGGTTCTCCACCACCATGCGACCTGGGACAAGTCCCAACCCACCGACGAAACCAGGCGGTGCCACACTGCGCAGCCCAAGGCGCCGTTCCGCGTGACTTCCGGTCGCTTCAGCTTCGCAGCCTTGAGAAGGCGGTTTAGGTTCGGAAGTCATCTGGATGATCCAAGAGCATCAAGAGCTCTAGAACGAAATATGTTGTTTCAAAAACACGATTGTTGATACTATATATATATGTTATACTGCAATATACTGTATTTATACCAAATTAATATAGACAATACCAGTACGTGGAATGAACGTCTGAGGCTTTCCAACCTCAACTCCTGTTGTTCCCTGGGAGACGCGCTAGAGCTTCCTTCACTTGTTTCATCGTGGAGCTCGCAGGCACCGTCACTTCCTCAAAAACGCACGGCCAGGCACATCCAAGGAATGGAACTCCTGAACAGCCATGAACAGCCATGAACACCCCTCCTTACCATCCATCCCCTGCTTTTTTCTGTTGGCTCTTGCGAAAAAGCGAAAAAGGCCAAGCGCAGGACCACGGAATCCCGGTCGGTGGGGTGGGTGATCGTCACCTCTACGTCGGACGAACGAGGGGAAGCGGAGCCAAGTGGCGGAGCCGACTGGCGCAGCAAGTGGAGGGATCACACAACGCAGCCATCGTGCAGTTAGAAGGTACGGTGGTCTATCAACCAGTTCGGCAACCGGCCTGGCAGAACTGACCGCTTGGATCGCAACATGCACCAGAAACTTCTCAGTTCGAGTTCGAGTTCGAGTTCGAGTTCGAGCGGGGCACACTATGCAAACTTCTGAACTTCTGACCAAGAAAATCAGACCTTGAAATACCAACATCACAAGGACCAACACATATACTTTACTGCTCAATCTCCCATCTCCATCCATCCACCATCCATCAATTCCTCAGTACCTCCCCCTATCTGCCGGCCTGTACATCCACCTCCGCAACCTGTGCAGCCTCTGCGGCCGAGGAGGTCTGCTTCAACGCACCGGCCTTGGACCCAAAGAGGTCCCCCGGCTGGAACTTCAGCTGCCTCACCGTCGAAGACAGACCGATCCCGCGAAAGGCACGAACGCCGTGAAACGAAGGGAAACACGGTATAAGACCAAATTATGACCAATTTAATCCAACTTAGCACACCACCTGGAACACTCGCACTTCTGGACAAGAGAATCTCTTCCAGTATCTTCCTCTCACTTCTTCCATTTGCCCTTCTCCCACCACGCCTCTCGACCTCCTCTGCCAGTCTCCGAATTCCAGGATCGGACTGGTGGGCACGCACCTTGCGCTGAGAGAAACCCTAGTTAGTTCGACTACGCCCTGGAAGAGTGGTCGACTGGTTGGTAGAGGAAAACCATCGGATCCAGGGGGCCCAGACAGGGTCTATGTGAGTGACATCGAAACTATCCCCTAGCTACCGAGCTAAGGTTGACGGAGTCTGAGCTTGTGGCCGCACTGAGCATTTCAGGGAAGCCCCACTGGTCGATGGTAAAGCCGGCAGCCTGGTGGGCGAAGCGAGAGTGTAGATCTGCCCGTCTGAAGAGGCACTCATTATGGAGAAGGTCCAGGTTGGTTTGGTCCCTCTCCGCCAGAAAAATGACAATCAAACTAGAGTTGTGGTCAAAGAATGAGGTAAAGCCTCCAAGCTGCATGTCACTCCCACTGTTCCACCCTCCCCTCTTTCCGCAGCCCGCTTTGCCCTGCCACTCCCACCGCCTTCAGCGAGGACTTCCAGGCCATCGCCAGAAGCCGAGCGACCGCCTCGCAGACCACACCCACCGCGCCCGCTGGTAGGAACTTCTACTGAAGATCGTTGTGTTCATGTTTCCATAAAGTGCCACCCATCAGCATCTGGACTTCTGAATGAGGAGTCAAAGTGTAGCTCCGTAGCACAGAGCTCACTCATTTCGGTCGCCTCGCGCTTCTTCAAGGCCCCCCATCCTCGACCACGCAGGTTGGTCAATGCCTGGAGTTTCAAAACAGAACCAGATGAATTTTTGCAACCTCGCAAGTCACTGAGTAGCAACCCACTTTGCGTGTGTTGGAAAACTGATCTCTTCAAGTCTTCAACCAGCTTGATGCCACAAAAAAGAGTAGGGTCCCACGCTTCTATCCGCTCGGCTTGGCAACCGTCTCGACCAAACCAAAAAACGACTCCTGACCGCGACGCGACTCGTGCCTTTTGGAAGTCGGCCTGTCCGCTCGCTGATCTCAAAGACCTCGAGGTCGATCATCGACAGGATGGCACATCCGTTGCCATGAGAAATCCTGTTTCTTGTGGGTGCATTTAATGTCATTTGCCATGGTCCCCAATGGTCGCCCATTCATGTTTGGTTCCTTGGAGACCTCTCAAACAACCATTCTCACCATCCTGAGGGCAGCTCTCTAAGAGCCTCTTCGCCTCGTCGGCATTCAACGACTTCGCTGTGCGCCTCTCTTCTCGGGAGTTCTTGGGAAACCAAGGAACGCTGCCATTGGGAGAACGGAACCGCTGAAAGAGATTCTGCTTCTAAAATCTTCTATTTAAGGTGATTGTGCAAAAAGAAAAATGGCCAACAAAATGTATGAAACGCAAATCAGCAGGGTCTTGTACCTTCTTGCTGAGTTGCACTCGATACTTCAATCTACTCTTGTTGGCGGTCACTCATGCCTGATCAAGTTCCTCGAACCGGAAGTAGCATCCCTTAGTCACATTAGGCTAACCCTCATTGATCTCACGGATTCCTGCTGTCAAGCACCCCATCTATGTATGGGGGCAGGGATATAGATCAAATCCAACAGATCAAATCCACGTGTGGCTCAAAAACTTTGGGAAGTCTTCTGCGGAACGTTTCCTCAGCATCCGGACCCTGGTTTCGCCGCCTCCGCCTGAGTCGATGGGTCCTTCAAAAATCCTTTTTTGCACAGACGCCCTGCTAGCTGCCAAATGCTGCCAGCTCCAGTCCCAGACTAGGAAAAAGCGGAGGTCCGAACCAAATTTCCGTGGTGCATACATGCGTCGTTCGTTTCCAAAACAAACACACAATTACAGAATGTTCAGAGTTACTACGGCCCTTCCAAAAAAAACCTTTGCGGAGCTTGAATGCATTGCTGGCCTGGCTCGCAGTCTTTTGGAAGGCCGAGAACGCCCCACCGCGGCGGCTCATGGCAGAGTCTTCAGCGACAAAGCTGGCATGAGGCTCAATTAAGGAAGTTCAGATATTGGGCTAAAGTTCGGTTTTTCGGTAGAATGTAGGGTTAGTGGAATTTGGCTTCACTTCTGGCTCAAGAATTTTGATGCCTTCCTACCACTTTAGGTAAAAGGACAAGGTGTCACAATGCCCAGCGCGCCATGGCTTGTCGCGCTGGTTTCGATCAGCGTGGGGCCACTCGCAGCTTTGGAGGGGCCGCGGGAATGGTTCTTCTCAACTGAAATGGTGGTGGAAAAGAGCGAGGTTCCCTCGCCTAAGCCTCAGTTTCGGGGGGAGGAAGATGAACCGTTGCCTGGTCCAGGCGCAACTGAAACGCTGCAAGGGCACGCATACTTTTGGGGCTTCTCCGAGTTCCGCTTCGACCTCTACTCCTGGATAGGGCCCGCATGGTTTAGTACCCCGGGGCAAGCTGGGAGTTTGAGCTCCACAGGCGGATGGGGGCTATATGCCTTAGATAAAATCGGCGTGTTAGCTTGCGGCGATTTCTGGCCTTGGGTTGGATGGGGAGTGCTCATCGTGCCCTCTATGTGGCCGTCTCGGTATGCCGTCCGGTCCGGACGCTGTTGACCTGCTGCTGCAGGCAAACTCGTGCGGTGGCAACCGAGGTTGGGGAGTTCCTCCCTGAATTGAGGGTTCGTGGAACCTATGAATCCCTAGCCTTCAGGGGTCCATCCACTCAGAGTGGGGTCGATCGACTCCGAGTTCTTCCAACGAGGAGTTAAAGGCAGAGGGTCTGAAAGAAAACCAAATGACTTAGTGGTCTCTTTGGACGAACAGATTGCGAGGATCAAGCCTGACGGAGACCACTGGGCTCGAGTAGACCGACATGGTCTGTGGGTGAAAATCCGGGAAGTGAAAGGAGCTACCTCCAGGCCAATTCGTCACAGTCTAGAGACGGAAAGCAAAGTGCACTTGCGCCGCGAGCAGAATTGCCCATTGGAGCTCATGCCCACCCCTGGGATCCATTGCAAGACTTATGCAGTGGTGGATGCAAATGGTCTGGTCGATCTTGGGGCCTACGCGGGATGGTCCACCCGTCGTCTGGTAGTGTTGTTCGGAAGATGTTTGAGACGATTGCTCAGTGGTTTGCATGCGCTCATCTATTACGGATCAGGTTTCTTTCTCCTGAAGCGTGCCTGGAAGCGACCAGCCCCAGCTAGAGTCATTCGGGAAGGAACAAACGTGAGAGCTCTCGACCCTGACTCCGAATCCGAGATGGAGACTCTCGAAGACCCGTGCGAGGCGGTCCTAATCGGGCTCGAAGTTGGGGGCAGACCTCGAGCTTTGGCAGTAGACCCCTGCGCCGACAAGGCGACTGGGGAGGGAGTCCGGCTATTAGAGAGGGACCGTGAATTGTCCGACATCTCTAATCGATGCACTGCCCGTCTGTGTGACCACCACCGACAGCTGTACATTGCGGCTTGCTCCGGACGGAAATGTAGCGTTCTTTCTTGCCATGAGCAAGTGGATGGGGCTAAACAAGGGGTTCCCCTTTGTAGAAAACACTTGATGGAAATCGGCTCTTCCGCCCGCCCTACCCGCAGAATCAGCTGGAGCGAGGGGCCGGATGATAGCACGCCTAGGACGCCACACCGGGACTCCGACGTCGTGCACCAAAGCCCAAAAGGGGAACAGCTTGACAAACCTCCGGTTCGACCTCCCCGTTCAAAAAGTCAAGAGAGAGGCATTCCCAACAGAGCGCGCGCCGCTTCAGCAGGACCTCAATCCAGCCAACAACATCAACTTGAGGGGTCCCTCCAGCAGGGCTCAGTATTGGTACTGCTCCGCTTCAGGTCCTGTCAGAAACCTGGAGGCCCCCCCCGGTGGGTGGCATATTTTGGTAGTCTCCAAGGAGTCTCAGCTGATAGCCGCGTGCAAGAAAAGGTAGATGTCTTTATGCCCGGACTTGGCTTGACTGGAGTGGTCCACGCCAGTGCCCTTCAGGCTGCTCCAGCTGAGGATGCGTCGGGAAGGTTTAGTCGTCAATGAATTTCAGATTTTCTCTATGGATCCCATGACCACCTTGTAGGGCAAGGCCTCTCAATGGCAGTCAGCAGGCTCCAACCTCACCAGGCGGATGCCTTAGGAGAATGGGAAGGGAAATCAGGTATCCTGTCAGAGACCCTACGCCAGAGAGTTAGAGAAGACGGGCAGAGAGAG